GCAGCCTAAATTCTGAAAAAATGGATATTGTCAGAAGCACTTTTGAATTTTCGTCTGTGGACATAATCTGTGTTTCGGGGACTTGGTTTAAATTACAGACATAACAAATTATAAGCTTTTCCGGTCTGATAGAAATGAGAAAAAGGGTGGAGGAGTAGCCATATACTGCAAAAAATACCTGACGGCAAAGCTGATTCCACATAAGGTTATTACCAATATCGAATATATGCTGATTGAGCTGTCTAATTGTGTGTCTAAAGTGCTTTTGTCGTGTGTCTACAACCCCAATAAATGTTTTAGAGTTTGTGACTATTTTCATATTTTGTCTCCTATTGCTGTTAATTATGACAGTATTATTGTTTGTCGCGATTTCAATGTTAATTTACTTTGTAGGGACTCTTACAGCTCCAGATTATTGGATGATGTGGCCTCTCTTGGCCTATCGTTTGTAAATGTGTCAATACGTACGAGGTATGGTAGTAATTGTTGTTCAATTTTGCTTGACTATTTTATTGTATCTGATCCTTCTGGGTCTGGTGGTAAACGAGGACAAGACGAAGTATCTCCTGTCATCAAACAAGCAGTCCGCATATTCGCGCCTTGGCACCCATGTCACTGTTGACAGTTACAATTTCGAGAAAGTAGAGAATTTCGTTTACTTGGGAACCAGCATTAACACCGATAATAATGTCAGCATTGAAATCCAACGCAGAATCACTTTTGCCAACAAGTGCAACTTTGGACTGAGTAGGCAATTCAGGAGTAAAGTCCTCTCTCGTCCGAAAACCACGCTCTATAAGTCACTCATCATGCCCGTGCTGGTATATGGCGCAGAAGCATGGACAATGACAACATCCGATGAGGCGGCTCTTGGAGTGTTTGAGAGAAAGATTTTGCGGAAGATTTACGGGCCTTTACGCGTTGGCGACGGCGAGTACCGCAGACGATGGGACGATGAGCTGTATGAGCTTTACAACGACATGGACATAGTGCAGCGAAGACAGCGGCTCCGCTGTCTTGGCCATGTCGTTCGAATAGACACCGACGCTCCAGCTCTGAAAGTATTCAACTCGGAACCCGCTGGTGGTAGCAGAGGAAGAGGGAGGCCCCCACTGCGATGGAAAGATCAGATGGAGAAGGACTTGGCTTCACTTGGCGTTTCCAATTGGCGTCAGTTGGCACAGAAGAGAAACGACTGGCGTGCTTTGCTGAACTTAGGCGGCCAAAATCACTTAGGTGGTTACAGCGCCAAAAAAGAAGAAGAAGAAGATCCTTCTTGTGTTTTAAAGTTTGATCAAATGGCCTTTATTTCAGATCATGATCTTATTTTTTGTGCTTTTGATTTAAAATTTAACTTCAACCGCAATAAGTTGGTTAATAGCTACACCACATTTGACTACCGTTTTTTAAATGTCAATAGTCTCTTAGACGATCTTTCCCGCATCGATTGGACCGCGTGCTGGAGACTTAGTACGATGAATGAAAAGCTTGCTTTTCTGAATGATAATATATTATGTAGCCTTCGGGCTGATGTTCCGCTACGAAAATTTATAAAGAGATCTTCGTGTCCCTGGTTCAACTCTGTTGTGCGAGCTGTGATTAGACAACGCAACACGGCATATTCCCGATGGAAAAAGAATCGCTCAGATTCTAATTGGTGTGCATTCAAAGCGGCAAAAATTGAAGCCACCATGGTCATTAGACGTGAAAAGCGCAAGTTCTTTGTCAAGAAGTTGGATCCATCACTGCCCAATAATGTTCTTTGGAAAAACTTGAAAAGTCTCCGAGAACATATTAGTGACAGCACAAATTGCCTACTCGAGCCTGAAGGCTGGGAAATGGGGCCCTATAAAGGAGCTTTCTCCGATTCTTAAAGTAAAGACCCCAGAGCGCGGAAGCTTTTATGTAGAAAGTTATTAACTTTTAAAGTTGCACAATTCACCATACAAATGTCATTGATTATAGGGAAGTGGTGGAAAGGAACATCTGGTAACATCCTTTCTATTCACCACCACAGCCATTTTGATTTGTTTGCTGGTTTACTTTTGTGAAGAGGAGTAGTGAAAGTATTAAACGCGTTTTATATTTTTAGAAAAAAAGGCTGTTGTATATATGAGTGCACATGGATACAAATACCAAACGTAAGCAAATACAACCCTAACGTAAGAATATAAGAGAATATGTATCTAGCTATAAGTATGAAGTATGACAAAGTATGAATAAAGAGTCAGTCTCATAATAGCATTCGGAACCGTTGGTTACATTAAGTGGCGACGAGAATCAACGATCGACCAAAAACGCATGCAAATCGGTTACGCTGCAAGGGCATATGGAGGCTACGCAAAATACGGCAGCGAGCAACATGGAAGTGGACAGCGCCACGAGGCTTTCGACGAAAGAATTACAACATTTTCGCGATGGGTAAAGCGGCTAGAAACCGTAATGGCGATTCACGGAATTAGTGAGACAGGAGGGGTTCGGCGTAATCTCCTTTTGTATTACATAGGAGCAAATACTTATAACATCCTCTGTGACAAATTCCTACCGCAAACTCCAGAAGAAAGGGAATATGCTGATTTGGTGGGAGTGTTGGGAAACCATTTTGATCCCAAACCCAATGAGATATTGGAAAATTACCGGTTCAATTCCAGGAAATAACAAGGGGGTGAGTCTTGTACAGAATTCATCACGGTATTACGACGATTGGCTGTGGGGTGCAATTTTGGGCCATATTCAGACACCGCGCTGAGGAATCAAGTTGTTTTCGGACTAACGAATCAACGTATTCTCCTGGCGTATAGAAGGGCAATTCATCCAGCGACGGAGAAGTCACCATCCATGCTTATGCTCGTTCTCCAAATGCAGTCAAGGTTAGATTTGCTGTTACCACAGAACGAGCACATTGTGTACGAACGCAAAGTGATCACGGCAAAATTTGTGACAGGAGAGAGAGTGGCAGCACAGGAGTAGCATGCGAGCGAAAAATGGCGTTTGGGAACGGTGGTCGAGGTTTTAGGAGAGTTGCACTACAACATTCGATTGGACGACGGTCGTGTTTGGAAGAGACACGTCGATCAGCTGAGGAAGGTCGGCAGTAAGATGACCACAGAAGCAGCGGGCGATCAAGCAGCCTTGCCTGAGGCGGACATATCTCGGTCGGTATGCCATAACCCAGATAAAAGTTTCGTTCTAGGTGCGGGACAAATACGGGAATTCCAACCCTCATCGGCAAATGGGTCATCGACAACTGACACGCCAACGCAGACAACGCCTAACCCTTCGCAGGAAGCAATTCAAGAAGCCGAAATGGGAGACGGGCCAGCGACCCCAGTAAACGTGGAAGCTGACCTACTCCGTCGATCAAAACGAGCACGGAACATACCAATACGTTTCCGATAATCTAGCATTTTCATTCTGTTCATCTGCAGTGTTCACGTAAAATTCATCAAATCAGTAATTTGCATTTTGTTCAATTCTGATCTAATAAGTTATCGAGGCTGGGGAAGTATTTAGGTGGGGAGAAGTGTTGTATATATGTGTGCACATGGATACAAATACCAAACGCAAGCAAATACAACCCTAACGTAAGACTATAAGAGAATATGTATCTAGCTATAAGAATGAAGTATGACCAAGTATGAATAAAGAGTCAGTCTCATAACAGCATTCGGAACCGTTGGTTACATCAAAGAGCAAAATACATTTACTGTACATAAAATACCTACCTGATTTTCCTACCTAGTCCACCCTTTTGCGACTACTTACCTGATATTACATACTTTAACTTTTACCTGCTTTTATTTAATAGACGTTAATTTTTTTTGAAATACCGGGTATACGGTTGAAGCCACCATGGTCATTAGACGTGAAAAGCGCAAGTTCTTTGTCAAGAAGTTGGATCCATCACTGCCCAATAATGTTCTTTGGAAAAACTTGAAAAGTCTCCGAGAACATATTAGTGACAGCACAAATTGCCTACTCGAGCCTGAAGCTCTCAATGATTTCTTCATTGATCGTACTTGCTCCTGCTTACCTTTCCCACAGCCCTCATTCTCGTACTCCCTTACACCGAATTGTGAAATGTTTGAGTTTAGTGTTGTATCCGAGTTTGACGTAGCTAGATGTACTAACAAAATACGATCCAACGCAATTGGTGAAGACGGAATCCCATTAAGGTTTGTTAAAGTAAACTTGCCGCTCATCTTACCTCCATTGACTCACATCATTAACCATTGTTTTACAACCTCATGCTTACCTGATGCTTGGAAGATTGCAACAGTGATTCCAGTCGCTAAAAATAAATCTGCATGTAGTCCTTGCGACTTCCGTCCAATTAGTATCTTGCCTCTCTTGTCTAAAGTACTTGAGTCCTTAATGTCCGAACAAATATATTCTCATCCCAGCAAATTCAGGTTACTGTCTCCATCTCAGTCAGGGTTTAGAGCTAAACACAGCCACTCCACAGTTATGATTAAAATACTTGACGACATACGTATATCCTTTGATAAAAACCATTTGACACTATTATGCCTCTTAGACTTTTCCAAAGCTTTTGACTCGGTTAGCCATGACCTACTTTGCTTTAAACTTAAGAATTACTTTGGGTTTAGGGCCGGTTGTTCAATGTCAGGTTATCACTACTTGCCGGTTAAACATCATTATCGACGTTTTTGACACCATGCTTATAACATGTGATCGATAAAGCAGTCGTTGTATTTAACCGGAGCTTCTACCTCTGATTTGTGCAAATCAGACATTGAACAACCGGCCCTTAGTGAACTTGCTGTCCGATTAATGACAAGCTACTTGTCCGGCAGAGCTCAGAGAGTAAAAATTGGTTATGAATTATTCGAACTTAGACCTCTAACAACGGGTGTACCCCAAGGCCCTATTATGGGACCATTACTATTTAGCATGTTCATTAATGACATATTTAATACTTGTCAACATGCAAAAATGCATGCTTATGCGGATTACATTGAAATTTATTTGTCAGGGGCTCATGACGATGTGGTTAATTTGTGCGCGGATTTCAATAGTGATTTATCGTCTATATCTTCATGGTCTGTGAGAAACGGTCTATGTCTTAATAGTGAAAAATCATTTTTTTACCAGTATGTAAAATAAATATTAATTGTAATGTGATGCCTTCTCTGTACATTGGTGATAAGTCCCTTAAGTTTGTGTCAAAAGTAACTAACCTTGGCTTTGTTATAAACACTAATTTAACCTGCGTTAATCATATTAATTCCGTTGTCGGCAAAGTATATTATACTCTGCGGAATTTAAGAATGTCTGCTACTTTTACACCGTTGTGCATTAGGCGTAAACTCGCCATTCAATTAATATTGCCTATAATATTTTACTTGGAATTAATCTACAGTAAGCTGGACTCACAATATGCTCATAAAATTAATATGGTATTCAATTACGTTACGCGGTATGTTTTTGGGTTGGCGAAATACGATCATATATCTGAATGGAAATTGCTGCTCTTGGGATGCGGTATTTCTGAATACTTGAAGGCTAGAAATTGCATTTTTCTATTTCGCCTTATGATGGATAAGGAACCTAGCTATCTGTTTGAAAAATTGTCTTTCCCGAAATCTGCGCGCCTAACGGAATTGATCGTGCCCAACTATAACTATCTAACATCTGCAAGACTATTTTTTGTTAATGCTATTCGCACCTGGAACTCGATTCCATCTCATATTCGTAATAGTTTGAACATAAGCAACTTTAAAAAAGAGTGTTTTGTATTCTTATTTTCGTTAAAATGCTATTTAATATCCAAAGTTAAACCCTTTCCTCTGAGGCTCGCTATATAGTTAGGTATAGGGTAATGAATACATTATTCTTATGTTTTTCCTTATGCTCCACTTCTGATTCTCTATAGAGTTTTGTAAGTTTTTGTTGTTCCTGTTTTTGTCTTATATATTACTTAATGTTAAACATTAACATATTTTAATTCTTAATTATAAGTTACAGTTGTACTATAAAAGATCATTGGGATCTTATTGTGCTAATGTTATATTTTATAATAAATGAAATGAAATGAAATGAAATAAAACTACCTTCTAAAAATTATTGTATCATGGTTTTAGCTATGAAAACGCGATCAATGACAAAAACGATAGAATTACAGAACGAAAACAACTACACGGACAGCCCTACAGTACAAGTTTACGATAAATTTTCGTATAATTTTTCTAAAGATATACCGCGAATAATATCGCATTTTGTATACGATAAAAATAACAAAATTTCAAATATTTAAATATGTGCACATTTAAAAGATGTTATGGGTTACTCTAGTGCACCCGGTAGCATGTCAGAAATTTCACCATCTCATATTTTTCTAGAGCATACGGCAACGCTAAAACTGCATGGAAGGTCTGCCATTTTGACGATAGCTGCGTTCCTTGCGGACAGTTGTCGCTGATTGTCACTAGTTCGTGCAGGTCTGTTTGCCTACTTTTTTTCGGTTAATAAACGCTTTCCAGCGGAGGCCTGTGATAGTTTGTGACTGCTGTCTGTAACTTCCTGTCATCACAGGATGGAATTTATAAGTTGACACATGTGCTGGAATGTGGAGCACAATACATATTGGGGCCTTTATCTTGGCATCTATTGCGGTAACTTGGTAGTTTGACAGCCACGTTTTCCTTTGTACTAAAACATTCTGGTGGAAACTCGATATTCTGATATAGGGCCAGTATCAATCGGTAACTTTTTCTGCATGGTGTACGAATAAATTGAGTTTTTGCCGTGCCAAACGTAAAGCAAAATTTTTACAGTGAAAAAAAAAATTAAAACTAAACGCACATGCGAAAGCTCTAATGGTGTGTGCTGCTGAAATCGTTAAAATTTACATCTATTTTATACTTGCAAGTAACTTATGTATTCTGTAATTTTCATCGGTTTCCATTTTGATTTTCACTCTACTATCGCAACAAGATTATGTATATACACATTTAGAAGCTGTCAAATTTTATCTAGCCCCATGAGCTAGATAAAATGCTGACGTTCGTATTCACCACGAAAATTACAAATTTTTATTCTGATCCGTCGAAAGTTCCACCATTCTATCAATTGGCATGGCCCATATAAGCAAAAGTTGAGCTGTCTTCCGTTCAAACACTTGGTATTATGTTCTTGGATGTAAACTAGCAAATTTTCAAAGATTTTTTTTTGCGGTTAAGTCCGGTAAAAATACTTGTAAACCGCGGATGTCAAGATATAAAAAGCTGCGCCCATATCGCCCCGATATAACTTGTGTCTAGCAACCCAACCGATAACTGAAAAACAATTAGTTTATCCTGTGAAGACGGCCAGTGAAGAAGAAAAGCTGGTGAATGGCTGCCTTCAAACGGTTGGGATCGGTATAATTGGGTGATGGCAACCCCGGATACCCTCGAACTAATTTTTTTTTGACATTTCTCTTTGCCCTGCGGCAAGTTTCCATTGGAAGGGTAACGGAACCAGTCCAATGGCGCAGTGACCGTTATTCTTCCAATGGGATACATAATTACCGCAGAGTAAGGGTATAAAAACCACTAGACACCAAAGGACACAGGAAGTGTTAATACTACAAAATTGCAGTGCCGATCGCCGCGCAGCAAATTTTGAAATAATCGAAAGTTTGGAAAAAAGCATTAAAACCCGGTCTTTAAAGTGACTTGTTCAAACCACCGATGGAAAATTATAGCAGCATAAACTAATAAAGAGGAAAAACCCAGGTGAGTAGGAAAACAAAAATAGTGGGCTGTCGCAATGGCTTAGAAAACTTGGGGGTCCTAAGTGCACTTTCCTCCGAATTACGGGTGTGCCCCAAGCATTTGATGTTTAAAAGGTTAAAATCGTGAATAACGTGCAAGTGACGTTTTCGATCTCGGGAAAATTTTCCTTAAATTCGGTCCGAATTTGAATAAAAAAATAAACAAATGGGGCCCTATAAAGGAGCTTTCTCCGATTCTTAAAGTAAAGACCCCAGAGCGCGGAAGCTTTTATTTAGAAAGTTATTAACTTTTAAAGTTGCACAATTCACCATACAAATGTCATTGATTATAGGGAAGTGGTGGAAAGGAACATCTGGTAACACCCTTTCTATTCACCACCACAGCCATTTTGATTTGTTTGCTGGTTTACTTTTGTGAAGAGGAGTAGTGAAAGTATTAAACGCGTTTTATATTTTTAGAAAAAAAAGGCTGTTGTATATATGAGTGCACATGGATACAAATACCAAACGTAAGCAAATACAACCCTAACGTAAGAATATAAGAGAATATGTATCTAGCTATAAATATGAAGTATGACAAAGTATGAATAAAGAGTCAGTCTCATAATAGCA